AGTTCCAGGTAAAAGGCCTCCAGGAATTTAAAACCTACCTCTTGCTCCCTGTACCCCATAGATCAATCAAGACTTGCCTTCAGCTGCTGCCTGATCAGAGAGGGAGTCTGGGGAAAACAGAATCTGAGAAAACGAAAGCAAGACATCTACCGCATTCTCACTTTCTCAACACACCCAGCAAACACCAGTGTTTGGTCTCATCTGTCCCCAGCAGAATCTGGCCAGCGGAGCCACCTGTATTCCATATCCCTGACTCCTGGGGACTACCCAGTTCATCTGGGAAAGCAGGCGATCTACCCTTCACTAGGTACCTCTAGTAACCAAGACCAATCTCCCCAGGGGCTGTCCCTGAGGAAACGTGAGTGTATGTCAGATTTTCCCTCTGGTCTGGACAGAGCAGACAACGCTCAGGAAAACATAAACACAGACCTAGAAACACACAACACACTTGTATACTTGTGTCTGACCCCAGCTGCTTGGGGAAAAGAGCCACCCATTTTCTTCCAATTTGCCCAAAGATAATAGTTTTGCAGCCCAAGCCTCCTCCCCGCAGGAAACTCAGTGTGTTAACCACAGCAGTGTATGCTAAACACAGGATAAATTCTACAAAGCACTTCTCAATTTCAGCATGCATTGAGTGTCAACTATTCCCAGAAAAGACTCAATTCTGAAGATATAAAAAAGGGACCTAAACATTCTTTCTGGGCTCCAATGGCAATCATTTTACCCAAAGCACAGCTGGGTCCTTTATTGAAAATTTGTAAATATGCTGAACTCCAAAGCAAGGCATATCTAGCTCTGCAACAAGTTGGCTCCCCTGTGGCCTAGAACATAAATTAGCACATGGGGTCACCGTTTTCCAGTCTTTCTTACAGAAATCTTGAACAGCAGTACCATCCTATAAGTATCTCTTGTAAAAACAAACAAACTGTACAGTGTCAAATCTGTACCCACAAGCCTGAACAAGCATGCCTTCAATCAACCTCAAGTCTATCTTTCATACTTTGGACAGTGCTGTTCTCCTAAAGAAAATATGTAGTTGTTTCTTTCACAATATTGAGACACTTCCATTACGTAAAGGGCAAGTTTTAAGCCTCATTTCATCTTTGGGCTTCAAGCCAGCACACGAACACCACCTCTAGTCACCTTCTCTGCCCTAGGTAACCCCTCAGTGGTCTTCCCTGGGTCATTCAGTGAACAGACCCTTCCTGCCTCCAGGCCGTGAACATCCCTCAACCGCAGCCCCTTCCTATCCTAGCCAGCTCCTCTGAGCCGCAGTTCTACCTGCTCTGTCATCCACTAACATCTCAAGCTGTGAATCTCATAATAAGCTGTATTTATTTCCTAGAACATTGACTACATTGTATTGGAAATATTACTTTAAATTTTCCTGTTTTTTTTTTTAATCCCCAGAATCTGTTTGTCATCTTAATGATTAGATGAAAATCCAATAAAACTGGGACAAGAATCATCAACCCTGTTTTCTACAGGTGGGAACAAAAGCATCTGTAAAATTAAAGTGACTTGATGAAGTGTGGTTGGAAAATGGCAAAGCTGTAGTGTGGAAATTCTCAAGCGCCAACAGAGGAAGGAGAGAGAAGGAAAGAGAAGGGAGAGGGAAGAAAGAATTGACTTCATCGAACTGCTTCTCTGTGAAAGACACAGTGTTAGGCACTTTAATATGCAGTGGTTGAGCGCTGGGTTGCGAAGCTGCCCGCAGCCTCTGCAGCGCCGGTTCGATCCCCAGCTGCTCCCAGGCCACCAGAGGAGGGTCCCACATGGCGCGCAGACCCCTCCTGCCGCCCGCTGCTCCCCTCAGGAGTGTACTTCGTCAGTCTGCCTGTTCTGCTCCCCCTCTGGCTCTGGTGAATTCTCTCACTCTCCCGCGCTTCTGACTGTACCCAGTGCTTGTATGAATAAATAAATCTTAAAATAAATAAATAAATAAATAAATAAATAAAAAATATTTCATCATCTTATTTATTCCTTAGAGCCACTTTGTGAGAGGGAGAGATAATGAATAGGTTTTTTCAGAAAAGAAACAGACAGGTTACTTGTTTAATTACACAACTAGCAAGTGAATTCAAGGTTTAAACTCTGATGCCAAAGCCCAGGTTATCGGCTCTCTATAGGAAACGTGGGCTTTCAGACTCCCACTTGCCTGTGGACACAGCCAGAACCACCTGCTAGAGCCCTCCCCCACCACCATGGGAGTCACTGCGCTTCACAGAATTCTGGCTTCCGACTTTTCACCAGTACCACACCTGATAACCATCTGCTATTAAGCTTCAGACAGCAAAGTGGCTTAGGATTCTAGCAAGAACACAGGCGCTCCATTTGCAGAAAGGCAGTATGATGCTATTTCAAAAAGATTCAAGAGCACATACTATGAAACAAAGTAAACAGATGCAGTGGTAGACAGAGTGCAGGATATGCAGAGGTAGATTTGGGGTATGTACACCTAAACCTATGTAATGTTATAAACCAATGCTATTTGGTTTTTTACAAAAAGTGCCACATTTAAGAGGTCTGCTAAGGGCAACTTGTACAAAGAATCCCTTGCTTTTCATAAATGCTCACCATGCACAACAGGAAGACAAATTTTGTTTTACACATGCTCTTCACTATAGTACCCGTCACTCATCAAGTTGTGATAGAGGACCCCAAAACAAAACATACTTGGTGTCTTCTGGAAATAAAGCCAGAAGAAAAGAGGACTTGTCAGTTTTCCAGAGTTTCGTTTCAATTATATTCGTCTGGGTAGTGCTGCTTCTTAACTGCAGCGGCAGGCCGCTAACTCCTCAGGCAAGTGCGCTGAGAGAAACTATTTTTTTTTTCCCCTGAAAGACTATGTCAAGGCAATCATTACTTTCCCTGTGGTGATAGAAATGTCCCAGACTTTTGGGATAGATTTATTCCTACTAGTAGGCTTTCTTTACACTTCAGTCAACTTTACCTTCCCCAAAGCTGCCAGAAAGCAGTTCTCCCTCCCAACAATATGAGATTCCAGATGAATAGTAGCAAACCGATAAAAGCAAAAACTACCCTCACGTGTCCTGCATGTGTCCCCCTAAGTCAGCTGGGAGACCCTCAGACATTCCTGGGGAGCACCAGAAACTCTAAGCCACATAAAATGGAAACATTTTCTGACACCTGACTCATCTGGCGGGGTAATTACTAAACTTCTACTTGAGCTGATACGAACGGAAAATAACTCAGAATCATAGATTTTTATGACTAGGACTGGTTCAACTCCCTTACTTTATAGATAAAGAAACCAAGGGTCAGGGAGAGGTTATGACTGAACCCAGACTGCACAGCTTGTCTTTGGGGCCAAGCCACCAGCCTCCCTAAGCAGGGCCTCTCTTTCCCAGAGCAGCAGGGAGCCTGGTGCCTGCTGGAAGCAAGCCTGGGGGCAGTGGTTGCTGGTACTGAGCCATGCCCCCTGGGTAGACCGCTTTTCAATTGCTCTCCTAGCTTCCTCCTTGCAGGCCTGGCTTACAGCAATGAGAGACAGTGCTTAGGAGCTCTGGGAGGCCTGGTGCTAAGGAAAAGCTTCCTCGCATGGCAAGCCTGCTTTTATTCTGTGAAATGGGGGTATTTTTTAAAATATTTTATTTTATATAATTTTTACATCATTTTTCATCTTTGCACAATGTATGCATTTTCATTTTGGTTATATTCCCCATACAATTGCACCCCCCCCCTTATTTTGACTCTAGTTCTTCCTCTTCCCGTCCCTCCCTCCCCTCCCCCCAAGTAGTGTCTCTGGTTTATAGTTGCTGATTTTGATTTTTACTTTGTATTGATTAGTCTTTTTCCTGGTCCCTTATTTAGGTTTTCTAAATTCCTGCTATGACTGAGACCATCCAGTATTTTTCTTTTTCTTTCTGACTTATTTCACTGAGCATGATCCCTTCTAGCTCCATCCATGTTGCTGCATACTGCATGTGAAATGGGAGTATTTTTTATCTTTTCTTCGGTTCAAGATTGTGATCAAGATTAATGAGAAGTCAGCCTTTAAGGAATTCTATATTCCTTGAAGAAAACATTGAGTAGGGAGCCAACAGAGCATGTGCTAAATGAAGGCCCACAAGCATTAAACCCAGAAGTTACAGTCCAGTATTTAACAAAGAATACTTCTGATCTTTCTATGCTTAAGCACACACATTGCATGCAACTCAGGGAACAACACCTGCGGGGCCTCAGAATGACTCTAATAGGAGAAAGTAGAGCAGGTGACATTACTCCCAATTTAATGGGAGGGAAAGCAGAGCCACAGAAACCACCTGTTTTGTTAGGGCACTCAGTCAATAAAATAAAATGCTGGAGTTGAGGGCCTTAACTAAGTCTCCTTTTTCCTTCTTGTGCAACTGAGTTTTGAAACCTTCTGCCCTTCAGTCAACTTCAGTCAACTTACCTTCCCCAAAGCTGCCAGAAAGCAGTTCTCCCTCCCAACAATATGAGATTCCAGATGAACAGTAGCAAACCGATGAAAGCAAAAACTACCTTCACGTGTCCTGCACATCAACAACACTGACAAGTTACCTTTTTTGTTGCATTTGAGGTATTAAACACTTAAGTTGGTATTAAGCAGCACATATGGACTCTGCAAATTCAGTAGTAGCCCAAGGCAGGGACTTTTCTCTGCTTAGAACTACATGAAACAGAACTATGGGACGACATTTGGGGTACACAAACAGGATTTACCTGCATGATGTTTTCAATTATTCATAACTTATTCTCTACATTCTTTTAAAAATAATCTGACATGGCTCTAAGCACTAACAATAATCAAAAGTAAGGTGCGCAGCAACCTGGTTTTTTTTTTTTTAAGAACTTAGACAAAGAGAAAAGTCTATATCCTAACTAAGTATATCATTAGTTATTTCTGACTACAGATGTATTGATTTTATTATTATTAATGCTAATCTCTGTTTAACTTTTTTCTGCAAAGAATATGTATAACTTTGGTAATAAGAGAACAATAATGATCTCACCTATATGAGGAATCTGAAAAAGCCGAATGTACAGACGAACGGAGTAGAATCTTGTTTCTAGGAATTGGGGGCAGGAGACAGAGGGGAAGAGGTTGGTCAAGAAGTACATAGATGAGTTACAAATTACAAGTACAAGTTCCATAGATGAGTAAGTTCTGAGAATCTAATACACAGCAAAGTGCCTGTGGTTAACAATACAGTATTATATGCTTGGGAGTTGCTAGAGAACAAATCTCAAATCTTCTTACTATATAAAAAAGTAAAATAAAACAAAACCATAATATTTATGTGAGGTGATAGATGTGTTAAGTAATCGTGTGGATACATGCACATGTATATAACATATACATATATATAGCAAATCATTATATAATTTAAACTTACATGTTATATGTGAATCATATCTCCACAAAGCTGGAGTTGGGGGTGGAAAACAAATAGTAAAGGTTTTCTTTTTTTCAATTTTAAAACATTCATTCTTAAAAAAACAAAACAAAACAGGAAAAGGGGTTATGTTCACTGGGGGTTGGGGGCTCTATTACTGAGAGTTAAGTAAAAGGAAAATTCAAACAACACTCTAAGTCCCCAGACCAGAACCTTTGCCCTGCTCCATCTGGATATTCTCAGTCCCTAAGAATATAAAAACAATAGCCCAGAACACCATTTTTTTTTTTTTTGGCAAATATTTTGGGAAAAAACTTTTATATGTATTTAAACCAAATTCAACATATGAAATCAAGTGAAAAAATTCATAAATCCTTAAAGCAATTTTCATGTTTGCTGGGGCCAATCTGAGCTATACCCCAGGCCCCAGAAGCATTTGTTGGCCTTCTGCACTACTGGGGATTTTTCTATGAAGAATTTTGGGAAGCCCTAAAGCAAACAGCATTGTTTTACCCCTCCCCACCAAAAAAACCAAAACCCCTTTTGTGCATCAACTTCATTAACACTAAGTCAATCCTGTAAAATTTTTTTAAGTCAATTTTCTTTATCCACTCTATCTTTGAAATTTTATTAAAACAAGGTGGCAGCAAACATGTGGACAGGAAAATACAGAAGGCCACAGGGGCACAGTTGCCCCTAGTGCCCTTGCTTAAGGGGGGAACTGCCTGGCTTAACTTCCCAGTTTGAGGATGGTGGGTCCTGTGTTCCCCCTGGGCTGTTCCTATTTCTGCAGGCCAGCAGTCTACTCGGCACAAGCTGCTAATTCATTCATTTCACAAATGTTTATTGAATGAAGCCTGAGAAAGGCCTCGGAGGAGACAGTAGCATCATTCACAAGCCAACGGTCAGGTCTAACGGATCTGCCGAGGATGATCAATCTTTCATTGGTCCTCAAACCACCTCTAGGATGAATAGGGCCTCTGCAGATGGGTGGGGCCCAGCAGGCCTGGAACAGGAACGCTGTGTAAGAAAGGCTAAGGCAGTCACTGAGTCCCACCAAAGGACCAAAAAGCCTACCCCACCGATGCCACAACACTCCTAAAAGGCCTTGAACAGTGTCTGGCACCAAGTGAGAACTCAATAGTGGTTATTTTTGTTCCTATTTCAGTTTGCCCCTACTCAAGGAACACCAGAAAAGTGGAAATACACAGGTTTTAGAATCAGAGAGGTTGAAATGGAATCCGACTGAGACCACTTACTAGCCCTGCGTCTAAAGGAAGCATCTGTCTGAGCCTCAGCTTCTCATTTGTAAAATGGGTACATGACAGTATACCGCCCCTCCTGTGGCCTTGTCAGGCCTGAGGACATACTGAGCACAAAGAGGAGTTTCTGGCCGGTGAGTATCTAGTAAAAGATAGTCAATAGTGCTATAGCTCTGAGCCCTACCCCCCTCTCTTAATGGGTCCTGAAATCTGAATTCACTCAAGATGCCACCTCAGGGGGAGGTGGGGTAGAGGAACTACAAAAGGGGACAGGAGGCCAGTGCTGGAGACCTCCCAGGGAAACCCACCCAAGTCCTAAGCTCTTCTCAGCCGCCCTCCGTGTGGCTGCTCCATCCAGCTGACAGCAAGGGACAGCACTCCGGCTTCCAGGGGCCAGGAAAGGGGACAGCAGCTTGAAACTATCCTGTCTTGTCTTGCCAGTCTGTCTGTCTGTCTAACCCTCGCTGCACCTGCTCTGTACACCCCTGCCAGCCTGCACAGTTCAGAAAGTTGACTTGGATTCAGCGTGTTGCTATTCAGGCTTGTATCTCAAGTAAAGGCCCACCCCCTGAAGGCTGCAGGTTACAGCCCCTCACTGAATGAAAATAGGGGCTTTCTTTTTTTTATTTTATTTTTATATTCCCCATACAATTGCAACCCCCTCATTTTGACTCCAATCCCTCCTTTCCCCGCCGCCCCCCCCCCCCATGGTGTGTCTCTGGTCCACAGTTGTTTGTTGATTTTGATTTTTTCTTTCTTATAGTTATTCTTTTTCCTGGTCCCTTATTTATGTTTTCTAGATTCCTGCTATGAGTGAGACCATACGGTATTTTTCTTTCTCTTTCTGGCTTATTTCGCTGAGCATGATCCCTTCCAGCTCCATCCATGTTGCCACAAATGGCATGAGCTTATCTTTTTTGAATGCTGAGCAATATTCCGTGGTGTATATGTACCACATCTTCTTGATCCAGTCATCTATTTTTGGGCATTTGGGTTGTTTCCAAAGCTTAGCTATTGTAAACAGTGCTGCTATAAACATAGGGGTGCAGGTGCTCTTTGGAATTATATAGAAGGAAATATAGGTAAAACACTACGTGACATGCACATAAAAGACATCTTTACAGACACATCACCCAAAGCAGTGATAGTGAAGGCAAAGATCAACAGCTGGGACTACATCAAATTAAAGAGCTTCTGCACAGCAAAACAGACAATAACCAAAACAAAGAGAAACCCCACCGACTGGGAGGCATTTTTGAAAGTAAGGACTTTCACTGAGACAGGAGCAGGAGGCGGAGGTCCTCGCAAGACTCACGGGGGTGGGGGGGGGGGCGCATGGGTGCGGGAGACGCGCTTCCCCCAGGCTGGTGGCGCCTTTAGGGGCTGAAGCTGTTGGATTTCACTTTGAACGTCAAATAAATCTCACTGTGGTTTGTAACACAGGTTAGGGAAGGAACTCCAAAACCAATGCTACTCTCCAAGCACAAATCACCCGTCCGGGAGCGCTCGCCTCAACACTCGCCGCGAGGGGGCCCTGCCCCGCCAACTCGCCTCACCTGGGCAGCCGGGGGCACCTGCCCGCCGCCAGGTCCGGCCGCGCCCGGCGCCGGGCCCCGCCAGTCCTCGAAAGCCTCAGGACGCGCGGCTGCCCCCCCCCGAACCCCGCTGTCCCGCGCCTCAGCCTCCAGGGGACCCGCGCCCCGACAGCGCAGCCGCCCCCGCGTGGACGGGCAGGAGCGCGCGCGCCGGGGCCACGACTCACGCGGGCCCCGGGCGGCCGGAGAGCCCCGCCGCGCCGGCCCGGAGAAGGCACCCGGGCGGGGGCCGGAGCTGCGCCGAGCGGCCGCGAGGGACCGGCGGCCAGGATGCGCGCGGGGTGGCGCGGCGGGACGGTCTCCCGGCCCGCGTCCTCCTCCCCGATGGGCCCGCCCGGGGCGCGTCCCAGCCCTGGCGGCGCGTCGTACCTTCCTCCGCGGGCGCCGGCACCCCTGCTCCCGCGCGCGTCTCTCGGGCCCCGCAGGCTCCTCTCCTGCCCCTGCGCGCCGTCCAGGTGCCGCCGCTGTCAGGGCCGCGCGTGCGGGCTCCTCCCGCGGGGCCACGCCCGGGGCGTGCGGCCAATGGCGCTGCGCCCGCCCCGTCCACGCCCGCCCCGTCCACCCCGCCCCACCCCAACCGCGTACCCCAGCTCTGCACGGCGGGCCCCAGGCCCCTGCCCCACCCTCTGCCACAGCTCACCACAGCCTTTCTTCTGCCCGCGGCCGGCCCCTTCCTGTCCTCAAGTGTATCTTGCCCCAAACAACTTTTTTTTTACTGTGCAGAAGAAAAATGCAGCACTTGTTTTTTTGTTTTTGTTTTTAAAGACTTATTTACGCATACAAGAACGGGGGTAAAGGCCGGAGGTGTGGGGGTGAGAGGATTACCAGAGACAGAGTGGGGAGCAGGACAGGCAGACTGACGAAATACACTGCTGAGGGGAGCAGCGGGCGAGACAGAAGAGGTATGCTGCACCATGGGGGTAGCTCCCTGGCCAGGGCTGGAGCTCGCGTGGCAGAGGCTGACAATAGCCTCATAGTGCTCAGACGTAATCCCTGGAGCCTCCAGGGAGGCCCCTGCAGCAGTTGTTTTTGTGAGCCCTGCGTAGGCTGCAATACTACGCATGAGTTTGCAAAGTGCAACTTCACACCTTCGTTTGTGGTTATACCTCAGCACTAACAACCAATGTTCTAGGGCTGTCACAATCAATTTGAGCTCCCTGTAGACACCATGCCACCTCTTCCCCTGGAGTGGCCACCACAGGTTTTACAGTCTGGTTGCTTTGGTTATGTTCTGGTAGTGCTTTATTTACTTGTAGTCCACATAAGTGAAACCATCCAATTAATTGTGTTTTATTTTCTGACTTATCTTAGCATAATCACCTCAAGTTCCAGGCATGTTGTTGTAGAAGGCAAGATTTAATTTTTTTTAAAGCTGAGTAGTATTCCATTGAGTATATAGCCAATAATTTCTCTTTTTTTGCCCCAATATTTTATTTATTTTATGTTTTATATTTTATTTTATATAATTCTTACATAATTTTTCATTTTTGCACAATGTATGTATTTTCATTTTGCTTATATTCCCCATACAATTGCACCCCCACTTATTTTGACCCCAGTCCTTTCCCCCTCCACCCCGCTCTGGTTTATAGTTGCTTGTTGATTTTGACTCTTACTTTGTATTAATTAGCCTTTTTCCTGGTCCCTTGTCTAGGTTTTCTAAATTCCTGCTATGACTGAGACCATCCGGTATTTTTCTTTTTCTTTCTGACTTATTTCGCTGAGCATGATCCCTTCCAGCTCCATCCATGTAGCTGCAAATTGCATGAGTTTATCTTTTTTGAATGCTGAGTAATATTCCATGGTGTATATGGACCACATCTTCTTGATCCAGTCATCTGTTTTGGGGCATTTGGGTTGTTTCCAAAGCTTAGCTATTGTAAATAGTGCTGCTATAAACATAGGGGTGCAGGTGCCCTTTGAAATTAATGTTTCTGTGTCATTTGGGTAAATACTTAGGAGTGGAATTGCTTAGCCAATAATTTCGTGACCCATCATCCCCTGATGGGCATTCAGCTTGATTCCATGTATTGGCGGTCGTTAATAATACTGTTATGAAAATAAGGGTGCGTGAATCTTTTTGAATTAGTGTTTTCTTGTTCTTCAAATACCTGCCAGTGGAATATAGAATAGCTGCATCACACAGTAATTCTATTTTTAGTTTTTTAAGGGATCTCCATACAGTTTTCTACAGACACTGCATCAATTTACAATCCCATCCACAGTGTTTTCTTTTTCTCCATGCCCTCACCAACACTGGTGTTTTTGATATAGACTATCATCACAGGTGTGAGGTAGTATCTCCATGGGCCTCACGGCATTTTGGTAGCAGCACTGTACAGCACACTCCATGATTTGAATTTGCATTTCCCTGATACTAAGTAATGTTGAGGAATTTCTCATGTGCCTTTTTACCTAACACAAGGCTTTGAAAGGAACTCAATACTCGCGATTCCCAGTGTCACACTGCAAGGAAATGAACTGCGTTGCCTAACTGTTAGGGAGGTTCTAAGGTTTCTTACTGCAGGTTCAGGGACAGGGTTTTAATGGGGACCTCAGTTCATCCAAGAGTTGTATGGCTTGGAAGGTAAAAGATAGAGCTCTGATGTCAAATGTCCAAGGTTCAAATACTGGTCCTGCCACTCTCTAACTGGACCTTGGGCCAGTTACTTCCTTCCGTCTATTAAAGAGGCAATAATAACAATATTCTCTATAGTTACTGTGAAGGTTAAAATGCACTTGACCTCTCTAGGTCTTTATTCCTCTTCTACACATTGCTTAATGTATTAAGATGTTATTAAGTAAGACCTTAATAAATGTTAGTTAACAGCATGAAATGATAATGATTAGAAGGTAGGTCTTCTAGTTTTGGGAGCAGGAAGAGTAACCTTAGTGTAAAGTCTTGAAAGAAAAGTGTGTAATCCCAGAATTCAGATGTGCAAATGGAGGTGGACCTGGAAGTGCTCTGGAGTTGAATTTGGAACAAAGATAAAATTCTGTTTGGGCAAAGATAAAATTTTCACAACTCCGTGGAACTAAATAAAATGGAGTGTCACTTGTGGGGTCATATATGAATGCTCTCTGAGCTGTCCCTCTGAAATAGTGGAGCCCGGAGACCGGTGCTTTAGAATAAGGATCTGAGATTTAACTTCACACAGTCATGACTTTGTAGAGTCACAGGCACATTGCCAAGTTACTTAGTTCTATCATTTAGTGGTTGGTAAATATTTATTTGTGAAATGGGCTAGGTGTGGTTCCCTCAGACTTAAAATATCCTCTCCTTTGTCTGACCCAAGCAAGTCTTCTTCCGTATCAAGACCCTGGACAATCATCACCAGATTCTGGTGATAATTAAGTAACCTTCCCCAGCACTCCAATTCCATGGTGTTTTTCTCAATCCTTGTCTTGGCATTGATATCATTCCACCTTTGTAGTAGGTTGTCACAGAACATTCCATGCCCTGCTATTTTTAAATTTCACCCAATTCAGGGAACCCTTTGTATTTCTCTTCATGTTTCTTCCCACCATCTCCGTCCTTCTTCCAACCCAGTCTCTACCTCAGATGACTTGACTGCCAAAGGCACTCAATAAATTTTTGTTAAATTGCACTGGCAAGCTCATAGAAGACATGTCACAGAGAGCAGCACTTTTGCCACCATGGAAAAGTTTTTTCTTCAATCTTCCCTTTGAAGACATTACTTTGTCTTTAAACTATGTGGATTCATAACTTCTTACCCACCAAAAATTGTGGATCTTGCTGAAATGTTGTACAATTACCTCTAGTGTGGTAATGTGGTTGGATGACTTACAGCAGTACATATCAAATGTACACTATTTAGGACACAATTCCGTTGTGGTATTGGATTGCCAAAGCAGGAATTTGGTTTTCTAAATAATTTGCAAATACTGAATAGCTTTTCTAACTTTTGGAAGTACAAAACCTTGGCTTGGAATCCAACTGTGTTAACAATCTCTGCACAGTCTTTAATAATGCCTGCATTTCTACAAGGCTTTGTATTTTTCAAAGCTCTTTTACTTTGATTATCTTGTTTGATCTTCATGTTTACCCTCTGATGTAGGAATGGCAGTTCTTAGTATCTGCATTTTACAGATGAAGATAGGAAGGGACATGAGAGGACCAAGCCCTTAAGCCCATGCCAAATGGCAAACTGGTGAGGTGGTCAATATTGGAATCCAAGCATCTAGTCTACCAAGGAGATTTTTGATATACATGAAGACAATGGTATCATTATTAAAGATCTTTATGAACAACGATCTTATGCAGACATGTCTTAATTTAAATTCACAGGGATATACTTCTATACAAGTTCAATTTAAAAGGGAAAGAAAAGTCTTTATAGTGATCACCTCCCTCAGATAAACTTGTGTAATAATCTTTATTTTTAGTTCAGTGCCAGGTGCCTGTGCATGTCAACATGAATTCCAACTTTAACTACTCTTTTTTAAAAAAACCTCTGGGCTTACACGACCAGAATTAGAATAAATACGCCTATTATAATGTTTAAAGAAAGAACAGATGTAACTTCAAAAAACAGAAGACATCCATTTATATGAGAACCTACATAGTCAAATATAAGGAGACATCAAGCAGAATGGATGTTGCATGGGCTGGTGGAGAGGAGGGTACTGCTGAGCTATGGGGTACAGAGTTTCATCGTGAGATTTTGAAAAAGTTCTGGAGACATTTGATGGTGATGGTTGCGGAACAATATGAAGGCAATTAATGCCACAGAACAACATGCTACTGTACAAGAAAAAAAATTGAAAGGGTAAATTGGGGGGAGGTGGGAGGGATTACAGTCAAAATAAGGGGGGTGGGAATTGTATGGGGAATATAACCAAGATGAAAAATACAGACATTGTGCAAAAAAATGAAAAATGATGTAAAAAAATATATAAAACAATATATATAAAAAAAAATGAAAGGGTAAATTTTGTTAAGACATTTTACCACAATAGAAATAAGTAGAAGACCATCTTATTTTATTTATAAGAGATTTCCTCTTGTAGAAGAAAGCTAGTTTTAATGCAACTCATCAACATTTTTGTTGAATTTACTTTGCTGGTTTTTTTTTGAAATTCATCTTACCTAAGAGCCACTCTTTGCTTCCTGTGGAAGAGAAGACAATGATCTGTCTTCTGCTAATATATTTTTTTTAAACAGGGTTGAACTTTGTGTGACAAGGTGAATCCTATCAGGGTATTAATGCTACTGCTGATGGAGTGGTTCCTACTTGTCTGGGACTTGACTGAATGTTTTTTTGTGGTTTGTTTGTTTGTTTGTTTTTTTACCAGTTATTCCACGCAATTGCCTGAGCAGCTCTCCATAGTAACAGATGAGAAACCAAGTTATATGAAGGCTGAATTACTTGCCCAAGACCACACAGCCAAACATTTTCCCAGAAGGCTG